CGGTGGTGACCAGGCACGGTGGCCCTAGGCGCAGAGGGAGAGCGGGGACGGCCAGCGGGAGGGCAGGAGAAGAGCCGAAGGGGACCGGGTCGTGGCGTCCGCTCGGAGCACGCCTATCTAACGCCCAAACTTCCCGGAACGTTTGAGAGCCGATTCCAGGACAGCGGAGCACGGCGGGTGTGGGTGTCCGGGCTCGGGGTCCGAGTCTGCGAGCGCAGGTGGACGAGGACGGTCAGGGCCTCTGGCTGTGTTGGGGGCCGCTTGCCCAGGTGATGGCTACACCCGCCCCTGTGGTGTGGGGTCCTGCGCGAGGAGCCCACCGAGGGCAGGGGCAGCGCTGTCGCGAGACCGCAGAGCGGCCGGCGGGGGCGTGAGATTCCGGCGCCACCTTTGACGACAGGTCGCCCCAGCTGGGCGCTGGAGAGAGGCCCGAGGTCCGAGAAGGGCATGTCCTGATAGACTTTTTTTTTTTTTTGAGAGACTTTTGCTATAGGGCGCGTGCGCTCACTGGAGAGACAGAGACAGAAAGCGAGAAATCACACCCCCCCCAGGGGGGACCACCACGCCACAGTCCCCTCAACATTCTCGTCTGGGATCTTGGGCACCAGCGCACACACGATGGTCAGGCGACCCGCCTCCGGGACTCGATCGCAGTAGCCTACGTGGAGTCCAGCGGCATAACCATTACGCCATCTGCGGGTCCCTGTCCTGATAGGCTTTGACGATGCCTGTGTCGCCTTGTGAGCGTCATTTGAGGGACCCTCCCTTCCTTCTCCCACTCCCCTCCCAGGATTAGGCAGCTGTCCAGAAGATGCGTTTCTTTTGAGATCTCTCAGCCTAAGGAGGGCCAGAGACAGGTAGAAGGTGTAAGGGCTGGGCCTGAAGCAAGCTTTCTGCAGGAAGTGGGTATGGTTGACAGGGAAGGGAAGACCAAGGGATGGGCCCCAGGAATGTGGGCCAGTGGGAGAGGTAGCAGGTGGTGGCCTGTCACAGTCCAGCTAGGCAGAAGCCCTCAGGAGATTTGGGGACAAAAGAGAATGAACACTTCTCTGCCTCAGGTGCAGGAGGACTCGGCGGTGACTGCCCGCAGGCTCGCTGGGGACGTCAGGTCACCTTTTGACCCAGTCTTCCTCTCGACAGATGTGTAGCAGCTCCTAGCTCAAGAAGTCCCCAGTTGCAAAGCGCCACACCTGTCTCCTCCGGAGCATTGGGAAGAAGCCATGGCTGTCAGCCACCTGCCAGCCCCGGTCCAGGTGAGTGGGCTGAGTGCTGTAGGGCTCCCCTTCAATTGCTTTCTAGATTTGAAGGGTGTGGGGATATTATTTTCCCCTCACCAGAAACTTTTCTGCCAGTTCAGTGTCACCTAGATATGCATCCCAACTGCTGCCTCCCTCCGTCCCCGGTTCTGACTCACACGAGTAGGTCCTGGGAGTCAGTGACTTGCTGATGTCACGCAAGTGGCACTGCGAGGACTGGAGCCGTTTGCATCTCCTGACCAGCGGGTACGATCCGGGCTCTGAAGCGGTCTGAGGACCTGGCCAGGAGCTGCGAGAAGGGAGGCATGGGGACATGTTCTGGGAGATTTATGGGACTCTTTTTTTTTTTTTTAAATGATGTTTGACTTTTTACATTAGCAGAATATTGGGTTCCAATGAAATTATTGAAAAGACTTTGCTTCATTTTAGGTGGTAAATGCCTACAATGCTCTGAGCAGTACCTGCCCTTTAGAATAAGAGCATGGACCCTGCTTTGAAGGGGGCAGCATTTATTTGGGTGTGCACTAATTCCTTCACATGTAAACCTTTCCAGGATGGGACCGTGTGGCAGAGATCGGGGAAAGGATGTGTAGCGGGAGGGGTGGTGGACAGGCACAGCTCTCCCAGCCTGGGCGGGGGGCGGGGGGCGTGCAGTGACCAACAGCCCTGCTCTCCCTGCCGCGGTGCAGTGACCAACCGGTCTGGCTCTGCCCGC